TAAAAAAAAATCATAAAAAAAGGCAAGAAACAAAAATAGGGAAAAAAAACACCCAAAGAAATTAATACAAGAAGAATGAAGTGGAAAAAAAGAACAAAACATTGGCTCACCAAAAACCAAAGTAGAAGAGATGAGAAATTAATAAAAGAAGAATGAAGATGAAAAAAAAAAGAACAAAACATAAGCTCACAAATTTTCTTCCATTGATTTTTTTCTGCTGAAAACACATTTGTAGTGGCAAAGCTCCCTCAGAAAAATCTATTTGTCATCTACCATACCATATATATTGAAAAATACAAAGAAAAAGAATGCCAATTTTTATGGTTCAAAGATTCATTATTTATTAAATATTTTAAGTTAGACGGTTCTTGTTTTACCATCTTGAATGAGACCATTAGAGAAGGAGATCAAAAGGTCTGTTTCAGAGAGAACAGAGAATGTCTAAATCAAAACCCCCATTTGAAACCATTATTGCAGATTCAGCTCCTAGTTTTCCCCTATTGCACTCAGTCACCTAGACAGAAAAGAGACACGAACTCTTAAACACACAAAACTCATCCTCAATATCTCATCAGAAACTAAATAATCTGTCATAAAATCACAAACACAGAGAAACCAATAATTGCTTTTATGAAAGTCTACTAAAATTCAAATTGCCATTTTTGTGTTACTTTGAATTAAATGGAAAAACAATAAACTATCCACAACCAATTTGAGAATGTTTAAAGAGAAGATTAGAATGAGCCACAATCAACAAAAAAACAAAAAAACAATATACAGAATATAATTCGCCAACCCAAAAAACTCAACTCCTTAAGAAATAGTGAAACAAAGTAGAACTCACCACTTCAAAAGGGATCATTTCTTACATTAAACGCTTCTTAATTGTAAAGCAAAATGTTACCATTGGAAATATACAGGTGTTTCCCCAGATATGCAAAGGCTATATATAGGAGATAAGAGACAAATTCAGAAAGAGTGCAATTATTCACACTAACCATAAAGACAGTGCTGAACCCAAATCGAAACAACCAAACATGCAACAGCAACTTTGGGTTTGAGCTTCGTTTGTTCCAATTCAAACACTAAAATGAAAACAAAATAGTTAGTAAGTTCAAATTTTGTAATAAATGTTCTAAAATACTTAACATGGCACGCATTACCCTCTCCACCTTCTCCTCCGTCACCCCACTTTCTTGTCCAGGAACTTCTCTATGCAATTAATTTCAGTCTCGGGTCATCTCGTCATCCTAGCTGCTTCCACTCACGATTTTTTCCCTGCCCTGTCTTGCCCTTTAGTCTTTAATCCGATTCCTCGTTCTTGGACCTTCGGTCCTCCACTCGCCACTCGTGGCCGGTGGTGCGCAACAGGGGCGTCTCGCACCGTGGCTGATGTGGCGAGTGGGATCGTATCGCATTTTTCACCGATGTCGCCAGGTCATTGGAGAAATGGGACTCGCAATTACAGCCCAATAAGATTTGCAATGACAATCATCACCTCAAATGGCAGTGGGAGAAGATGAGGGAGAAGGCCTGCCTCGAATCATCGATCCTCAAACTCCTCTTCTATGCCTCCACCATCTCTTCTTCCATGCCGCCCTCTCAACCGGCCTCCTCTTTCTCTTCTCCCCATGATCATCCTCTCCCCTTTCCTTTAAGCTTGCTTTTTCTTGTCTCACTGAAAACGCGGCTAGCCACGTAACTCAACATGAATGGTGTACGAACAGTGCGCTTTGAGAATTTGCACTGAATAAGGAGTTTTTTTTTTTTGTTAGCTGCCTACCGCAGATGGTTAAACCCCTAATTCTGACCCAAATTAAGCCTTTTAGATTAGTCATTACTAACTCGCCCAAGCTTTTCTGGAAAAAAAAAATTTGCACTGAATTTAGATGAACAGATTAGGAACAGTATTGGTGCTTTCAAAATGTTGGTTAAAAGACAATAAAACCAGTGAACAGCAACAAATCTGAGAGACAAAATCCGGAAATGCAGGGTGAGTTTACTAAGGTAAGGAATGAATCAAAATATGTTGACCGCATGTGCTTGATGCAAGGTTGTCCAA